ATATGCGGGATCAAGACAAAGTCAAGGAAGATACATTATGACAAACTTATCATCAATCCCAAATACCTTGAATGATCAAATGACCATTTGGAGGTAGATTGGAAATGATGAAAGTTCATCAAATATTCGACAAGCTTAGATGAACTAAAAAAAGCTCAAATACTTTCCAAATTGATTCAAATAAAAATAAAATAGATAAAGAAGAATAAGATGAAGTCTATAACAAATATAGTATAAATGTCATGATTTTCTCAATTTTTCATGAAATTAAACAAATGAATAATGAAATTTTATCTACTCAATCTCACGACCAAGGATCCATGCTCAGAGTAAGTAAATAAATAACAAAAACTTACATAAAAAATGAAAATTAAACAATAATAAATCACTTTTGCTTTTGGAGGTTCAAGAATACTTTTTCAACTCTTAATTTTGAATGAATGGAGTTTTCTTCCAAAATAGTGATAATTATGGTACTAAATAAATAAATAAAGAGTAAAAATGCAATAGAATTAAATAAAGAACAAGTATAACAGTCTACCTATTCAATAAAAAGAAGAAATGACTTGAAAGAAAATGAAGAGAAAAAAAGAAGAGAGTTTTGACTTAGTTTATGAATGATTTATGATATTGTTGCTCTCAAATGAAAGAAGGTTATTTATAAGGTGAATGAGGTGAGAGTGTTGATGTGGAAATCTATGTGACTTTATAAGAATGATTTTTGGCCATTGATAAGTCCAAGTTGACAATCCATGTGAAGTGTGAAAATAATTATTGATCAATGATAAGTACAAGTTGACAATTCATGTGAAGTGTTTGTAGTTGTACTACATTATAGTGGTCCTAACTTTTCTTTATTGACAAAAAAAACAAAAGGACAAAGTAGTAATAATAATAATAATAATAATAATAATAATAATAATAATAATAATAACTAAAAGTGTTAGTAATAATAATAAATACAAAATAGAAAATAAAAGAGACATTAAATTAATTATTTATGATTTTTTTTCTTAAATTAAAATAAATGAAAATAAAAATGCAAATTAAAAGATATAAAATAAAATACATATAAGAAAGTAAGAGGATTTATATAATTTTTTCTAAATTTTTTTTTTTTGAAATAAATGATACCAATATATAAATTTAAATTAATAAAAGAACATATTTTTGATAATTTTTAGTAAAGAAGTAAAAATAGTAAATAAAAAAATAACATGATGCTAAGTTTTTTTTTTTTGTGATTTTTTAAATGGAAAAGAAATCAAGAATAAAACACAATAAAAATCAAATTCCACTAAATTCATAAACAACTTCTAACGTTTCTATTTTTTTTTTGTGGCTTTTCAAAGCATAATCAACTTTTGACTTGTAAAGAAAAATTATAGATGACGTTAAGGAGAATCATATGCACAAAGAACGACTAAAAATATCGAAATTTAAAGAAGTTATGAATTTTGTAAATCTGACTTGAGAATTGGCAAAAATAGGTCAAACCACTCGTGAACACTTGCCATGCAATGATACAGATGGAGGATGGATTGTACGTCAAAATTTAGGATATGACAGATGCCCCTATTTAAGTTTCTTCTACCGGAGATTTGAAGATACTTAAATATAACATAAAACCTGATTTTTGGTCCTAAGATGTCACAAAATGGATATGATATGAATGAGTGCAATGAACTATTTTTGACACTTTTTTTTTGTATATGATATAATATGATATGATATGCGAGACATACTCTGTGGGAATAAGACCTTAAACAAAGAATTTACGGTAAATTTAATGGATATCATATACTTTGTTGATTATAGTTCATATTATTGAGATAATTATGGGTTATTGAAATAACTACGGATTATTGAGAGTATAACACATATTGTTGAGATCATTATAGATTATTGAGATAATTATGGATTGTTTAGAGTATAACTCATATTGTTAAGATAATTATGGAAAGAGATAATTGTTTATTGAGGGAAACTAGAGATCATGGTTTTAGATAAACTAAACCACAGTATTTTATATATATATATATATATATATATATATATATATATATATATATATATATATATATATATATATATATATATATATATATATATATATATATATATATATATATATATATATATATATATATATATATATATATATATATATATATATATATATATATATGGCTTGCAACATTGTTTTTTACAAGATTTAGGATTTAGGATTCAGTTTATATAAGTTAAACTCTAGTATTATATACATGGCTTGTAACACTGTAATCGAATCAATTTATAAGACATAAATAAAGATAATTTAGCTACTATATAGTCGCAAAGGTAGGCATTATTGGCCGAACAACGCTAACAAGGATAAATCGTGTCCATTATCATTTACTTTCGTTTATCTTTAATCTTTTATACTAGTTGTCAGTCTAATAATTGGTATCAGATGACGATTAACTCTGGTGAAAAATTTGAAGAAACCTTGTTTGACGGGATAATCAATTTTGGATTATGGTAAAGGAGGGTTAAGGATTTGTTGTCTCAGCAAAGTTTACAAAAGGTATTGTGTGAGACGAAACCAAACGACATGGACGATACCGATTGGACAAAGATGAAGGATATGACGACATGATTGATTTTTCTATGTGTTTTAGACCAGGTGATGCAACATATCATGAACATGACGACTCCAAAAGGAGGTTTAGGACAAATTGGAGAGTCAATAGATGTCCAAGACGCTGATGAACAAATTGTTTGCGGAGCAACGACTATACAATTTGAGGATGCGTGAAGAATATAATTTGCAACAATATGTAAATGTCTTCAACAACATAATCACCGATCTAGTGAGACTTTTAGTGGAGATTGATGATGAAGATAAGGAAATTATCTTGCTCTGCTCGTTATCGGGTTCTTATAACCACTTGGTGACAGCTCTTACCTACGGTACTGAAAAGCCACTATCAGTCTTGATGTGATTACTAGTACACTTTATCTCATTCTCAAATGAGGCGGAGTAGATGAAGGAACTCAAGATGACAATTTGTATATGAAAAGGGGGTCAAGATCGTGGACAAAACAAGGGTAATGGAGGTTATAGAAAGAAAAGGTCTAAAGGATTTAAAAAACAGGTAAGTATTATAGTTGTAAAAAAATTGGGCATTGGAAAAGGGATTATCCAAACATAAAGCACAGCTCATCCAGTTCTGCAAATGTGGTTCAAACCGATGATTCTGAAAGTGAAGCATATATAATGTGTGTTTTATCCGGCAAGTGCACAGATGCGTAGATTCTTGACTTTGGTTATTCTTACCACATAATGTCACATTGAGAATGATTCACTACATTCAGATCACATAATTTTGGATTTGTTTATCTAGGTGATGATAAAACTTGTATTATCATTGGAATGTGACAAATTTAAATTGTCATGGATGATGGTGACATGCAAATATTGAACGAAGCTTGATATATTCTATAATTGAGAAAGAACTTGATTTCCATAGATACTCTACATGTAAATGGTATCTCCTACAGGTCTGATGGAGATAGGGACATTATGAAGGTAACAATAGTGCATTGATTGTGATGAGAGCAAAAATGATTGTAGATAACATCTATAAATTATTGAGAAACATTGTTGTATGTGATGTTGCATCAATCGATTCTGATAATGGTGCAACCAAGCTCTTACATATGCGTCAAGGTCATCTCAATAAGCGTGGGATGATGGAACTTTGTATCTGTGCAGACAACTTCCTCTTTAATTTGCAAATTTTCTTCTTTTGTCGTTCGATCTTCAGATTACTATCATCAACAATTTCATCTAATCACTTGAAGAAATTAAATACTTATCAAAGTTCAAATTTTTCATACATGTTATTGTACAAATAGTACATTCCTCTTGACAAAAACATTCATTTCTCCTGTGTCTTCTAAGTATATATTCAACTGTCTCAAAATTTTGATTGTTTGACATTCAACGATTGTTGAAAATCTTTGATATTTTCAAAATTAAAGATGAAGAGAATTTGAATATGTTAATGTTCTTGGTACAAATTTAAAAACTTGTTAAGATGAATAAGTAGGATAAGATGAATGAAAATGAATGAATAAGATGAATTAGAAACTTTAGAAAAGCAAAACATTGCACTTTACGATTTTTTTTTTAAGTTGTGGATTTATAAATATCAACTACCTGTTTATATTTTAAAAGAAAATACATACTTTAGAGTGAAGAAGAATATATGTTGACTCACAATTACCAATTGTGTCAGTTGGATTATCACATAAACACAACTTAACGATAAATAATGGACAACATTAAATTAAATTAAATTAACGAACCTTAGCATTAATTTAGTCTTTTTTGTATATTTATTTTTTATCTGCAAACTCGGAATGAGAATAGTACCTTAGTTCTAATAGCCATCGTTTTTGTCAAAGAATCATTAAATTTGTCGCGTTATAGTCTGCTGGCACTGTAATTTCAGAGACGTTGATAAGCTCCGCCGTGGAATTTGAACAGGAGGTGTTCTGGTGTTGCAGAGACATCGAAGAAAGATGATCACGAGTCAACTCAGTTCATGAAACAAGAGTTGTGAAAGTTTATTTTGGATATTACTATTACTTACTGAACAAATGTTTTAATTTCAGCCATTAATTTTTTATTGACCTGTGCCGGTGAACTGGCTGGAAACTTGTTAAGTGTGGAAATGGAGCAGCAGATCCAGACTCAATAAATATCCTAGACTACGAAATTAGAAGTTGACAAATTGATTTCACAAATCAAATGGCAAGTACTAAAATATTGCATAAACTTTAATATATAAAATGAGATCAAAATTGTTGGCTATATCATTCCAATCACTAATGCTATGTTTGGATATGGGTGGCGAAGTGTCAGACGCGTGTTTGGCCCACAAGCTACACTTTGAAGCTTTGAAATGCCATGTAGTGCGGTGGGGTGAAAGAAAAGCTATTCCAAACATGCACTAAATAGCACTTTGATACTGAGCCCATTTTAGTAACTCATCCTCACTATCATCAGATTGCTCCAGATTTTGATCTGCAATGAGATCTTCCTGATCTTTAACTTCTTTGTCATCTTTATCAGTGGTTACAACCTCTTCCTGCATTCAGATAACAAGAGTTTTGAAAATTGGCAAGGTCAATTATGGGATAAGATATATTAGACTTTCAGAAAGCTACAAATGTATGGATTTTGATCAAGGATATCCTCAATCTATAAATAAGGAGGGAAAGACTTGGCAACTATGTCATTAGTATTTGCTATAGGAGGAAAAGTACATACCTTAGTTCCAGGTGTTGGGTCCTCAACCTCCTCCTCCTCTAGCATGAAATCCGGGGCATCACTAGCAGTATCTTGTTCTTCCTTATTAGAATTTTGTTGCAGACTTTCAGCCACCATTTTAAAATGACAAAGATCTACAAAACAGAAGGATATATAATTGATTCAGTAGAGTTTTATTTGCTCGTCAAGGAGTATATAAAGAACAATTAACCATTCTGAACTTTTATTTTGCCATGAGTAGATTAAACATGCTTAGTATGAGAAACACAGAAAAGTAACTGAAGACTTGAACCTGTTGCATGATTATTCACGGCCTCGGATAACCGTAAAGGATGTTGCCTTTCTTCCTTCTTGTACTTCAGCTTAACTTGTTGACGGGTTTTATCAGGGAAAAAAAGTTTTTGTATCATTTCAAAATCTGTGCAAAAACTAACAGCCTATATTTAAAAAAAACTAATAGTTAATTTATGGGAATAAAAGCCCTTTCTTCCATTCAGACAATACAAAAAAGATAATTACTAATTTACTATTTGTATAACAGTATTTAAGAAAATAATAAAGCCATATATTGGAAGAATTATGCAAATACCTTATAAAACAGTTCAGTATCTTGCTTTGACCATTTTGCCCTAGGTGCCTTGTTCATGAAAGAATGGTAATTCAATAAGGGGGCAGTTGATGTAAACTTTTCACTGGCTAGATCATCATCTGGGTCTCTATATTCATCATCTGAACCAAAATACTCCTCTAAATTATTAACATCAGCCTCATGAAGAAAATCCCCATCACTGCATATAAACATTTTGAGAAGTGAAATCCATACAGAATACTGTATATGACTCAACAGTGACAGTAACAAGGAACAACAGCCAGTGGATAGTATGAAGTGAATTTTATATATAATGTTTTCCCTTTTCCTTTTTGTTCAGTTCTACTGAGGAGAGGGAGTTGTGGTCCGAATACATGAAATGCCTAGATGAATACAAAAAATAGAAATACCTTCCATTTATATCCCAAACATTTTACTCGCTCACTCTCATCATAAACTACCGGGAAAAGGACTTGGATTTCTGAGTTTTAGTATAACCGGATTGGGGCAGAAAGAAAACGATGTGTTGTTCACCAAAGGACTCTGATAGAGAATTAGAATTTACACTAGAGGCGAGGTAAGTAACTAACTAACTAACAGAATCGGCTATGGCAGATATTAAAGCTATACAATAGTTCCTAACTAAGAACTAAACAGAAGATAGATAGCTATATAAATATAACTTGTGATGAGTAATTACACTCTCATACTATTGTGTCCAAGGTAATCAAATCTGGACCACATATTGAACTGGTGGAAGCACACCAGTTAAAGGTTCAAAGGTATGACTAGAATCCGAGCATACAATTGATAATAATAATCAAATTTTATTGAGTTTGACTAATAGTCAGTTATCAAAGAATAACTCTGGTTATCAAATGATTGAGCAACCTGGAACAATTTACTTACGATATTTAATTGACATTCATAAAAAGGATCTGATGAATTATGAGTTCAATACATCCTGCTTAGCAGAAAGACGGGTATTCCTCGCTCATTATCAGACAATCACTTATTCAGAAATCCCGTGTGGGGCTAGTTGTTTGGATTTCCCATCTCATGGGAAACCCTTTTCGCTACGCTTAACCCCATTATCAGACAATCACTTATTCAGAAATCCTGTGTGGGGCTAGTTGTTTGGATTTCCCATCTCATGGGAAACCCTTTTCGCTACGCTTAGCCCTATCCCCTGCTAGGGGTATTTTATTGATAGGTTCAAGTATATTTTCCTAGACAGTTTCCTGAGAGACCACTTGGTTGTAAGGTTGTACCTTAACACTGTGGTTCTTAGTTTGAGACCGGCAAAGAACGTGATGAAGAGAAAAGTATATTTTTCTAATTTTTTTAATAAAATATATAAATAAATAAATAATTCATAATATTCATAACTTTACACTTAAAATTCAACTCTATGATATTAGTGAATTGATATGACCGACAAGGTTTATTTTATCCTAAATTACACAAATGTTGTAACTTTCATTTTATTTTCCTACATTTTTAGTACTCCTTTAATTTTTCTAATCGGAAGTTTATAATTATATCTACACGAGCTAGATAAATCTTTTTTTCCGAAGACAATGACATGTATTATTATAATTTAACAGAAACTTGGCACAAGCACTTACAATGCATGAGCCCGCTATTAGAGAATTTAAAAACAAGAACAAAAGCCAAACAAAAATTACTTACTCTATCAGCATTACAACAAGTTCACAAATGAACTCCACCCCATAATTTTCTAATCATGCTTCTCAGCTCATCATTACCGGCAACAACAAAATGCAAACATCACCTTGTCAATGTTTCATTCTAAGCTCATTAAATCCCAAGACATTTTCTATTCATAATAGCTTGGCATCTTTTAACTCTTATGCCCACGTCGGACAGTTTAGTACGAAGGTGTGAACACCATATATATATATTGAAGTGAGTGAGAGCAATTCGTTTAAGTCAGCATGTGATGAAACGTGTTGGTGTAGACTTGCTTTCTCGCCGTTCATTATACAAAGGAAGCTAGGATTTGTTGTTTCTAGCTTTTGTGTTATAAAATAGCCACATTTTGGGTTAAAGTAAAAGAACCTACCAGCCCGGACCAGTTTCTATTACCCTGGTCACATCTACCACCCTCCACGCCACGACCCACCTGAACCAATTTTCCAAAGGATGAAAATAATGGACTTCTTGAACCCATAGCAACCCATTTGGTAAACATAATAACTTTCCGAACGACTTCATAGAATCATTCACATGTCTCCGATAACAACCCAAAAATAAAAGAATTTTGCTTTGTTGAGTTAGTTTCTCAACACTTTCAGATATCTCTTACTTCAATAGCATGAGAATGTATGAATCGCTCATTAAGTTTTAGTGGTATACGCTAATTTGCATAATTATATCTTATTATATACTTTTTCCAAAAGATAAACATTGACCAGAAAGTACATGTAGATAGCTGTGTAATTGTCTAACTGAAAGCTAACAGAAAAGTAACCAACTCTATCAAATAATATACATGCCTGAACTTCTTAACTAGCTACGCTATGTATACTCCAATAAATACACTCATAAGCTATGTAGTGTACCTTTGATTGGTGGAAGATGGTTTAGAAGTTGCTGCCTCCTTTTTCTACATCAAGAAGCAAATGGAACAGATGGTGAAATTTAACCCATAATGCCCAATGTCAATTGCTAGCATTGCAACACAATAATTATAGTTGAGAATACTCACCGCCAATCGCTCCTTATAATCTGCAAGTAAAATAATATCCCTAATAGGTAATGTTCTCTGATCAAGAAATTCATCCTCCAGCAGAGCCTTGTTCACTGTGAAAATGAAAATACTTTCACAATAAGCATATAAAATATAGTCATCACAGACAACAGTTAAAAATATATAGCTTGATAAGTTTACCACATCTTTTTCTTCGCCGAGATGAATGCAGGAACTTTTTAGGAGGTGCTTCAGTAACCTTTTCAATGTCATCATTAGCCTTCTTGCGTTTTCCAGATGTTTTTCGATTTTTAAGAGGTGCTTCAGTAACCTTTTCAATATCATCATTAGCCTTCTTCCTTTTACCAGATGTTTTTCCATTTTTAGCCACGGATTTCTTCTTAGGACTTGATGATGTTTTTTTCTTCTTGGATGAATAATCCACTCCATACTCATCATCATTTTCTTCATGTGCATCTCCATCAAAATCATAAGGAGGACCGAGGACATCATTATTCTCAATAGCCTCATTCAATGAGGTTTTAGCAGGTTTACGAACTGCTTGTTTTCTCGGTTGCCTTAAGGTTTTACCACCTTTATCCTCCACAACAGCAATAGAAGATCTTTTATGTTTCTTTAGAGATTTTTTTGTCTCATTAGCATCCTGAGGAAGATTGCAAATAAAATGACAAAACATCATCTAAATCCGGATACTTAAATCAGAGAAGTGGGGGAAAAATGACAAATCATAATAACAAATATTTACTTCTTTCTCTCCAGTACAGACTAGCTGCAAAAAGTCAGCCAATGTGGGACTATCTGTAGAATTTGTCGGCCCTTCTTGCGTTGGAATTTCAGATGTTGGGTTAGTGTCAAATTTCATTGATTGATAATCATAGACATTGTCAATTGGGCAGCCAAGATTCAAGTTTGCGCCTTCCTGAAACCAATGATAATCATGCCCATTTTTATACCAAACAAATTATTTATCTAGTATATGTTTTAGGAAATTATCATATCAAATAAATCACATAATCTTCACCTGTGATTCCGACCTACTTTTGTTATCATACTCTGGAAGGACAAAATTTTCCTCTGCACCCTTCACATTGGAAGGTTTAAGATCTGGTTTTCCTGCAAACAATTTTTCAATCATTATTGAAGAATCCCAAGGTCGGGTACTTACAATTGGCCTAGAGCCAATTAAACATGAGAGTGAGAGAGAATAAATGGACATACAAAACAACTGAAACTCATGCAAGCCAAAGAGGAGATTGAGAAGTGACTGCAGAGCATTAATAACTTGCCTGTAGCAGTTGCAGCTTGGTCGAGAATGCCATCAAGTGATTTTAGCCCCAAAAGAATATCTGTAGTCTATATGTGTAGGTACGAAATATATCATTACTAAGTAAATTAATGAAACTGAAAAAATTAAGGTAAATATAACTTTACCTCAGCAGCTGATTTAACAAAGCTAGAAGACGAATCTCCAATTCCATCATGAACTGGATGTGAAGGAATAACTGCTTCAGCGCTTCTATTGTTTTCAGAGAATGGAATACCTGAACTTATACAATCAAACTTGATAGATAAATTGGTTTTCCTAAGAATTACAGAAGTGGTAAAGGTAAACTTATCATTTGTGCAAGGAGGTAATCACCAGATGAAGCAGAAGCAATAGCTGGTGTATTGCTGACTCTAGGTCGTGGCTTAACCTTGGGTTGAAACTTACGAGCTACAATGAAAACAAATACAAATGATTAATCATTTCAGGTATATGAAGTAAATTTACAATAACACCAATATCACTAACCATTCCCGGTGCCAGGATCCGGGAGGACATTGGTGAAAGGATCCAACTCAATTTCAGCAGACAATATCTGGAAACAATATACTCCACAAGTTAACTACACTACACCCATCTGAAACAGTAAAGCTACGTGAAAAAGATCCATAAAATTCAAAAATGTCCCTCTCCCACCTGTCCAAACTCAAAATTTGAATGAATGTTACTCTCAGGTATTGCAATGTTAATGTCGCCTGAAACACTTTTGAAGCCCTCGTTTAAGCTAACTTCTAGTGAATTATCAAGAACTTGCAAACTTTTGCCCGTACCGAGAAATGAACCTTCACCGATTTTAGGCAGTTCTTCCACCCTAACAATGGTTGAGGGGATAGTAGACGGGGCAGTCACATTATACAATTCATTCTCTACATCCGGATGATGATCAGACTTGATAGGTTCTTCAATTGAGAAACTTACAGCAACTGCATTATGAGACTCAATCTGAGAAACTCCTTCAGATTGTTTGTGAGTGGTAGATGAATCAAGATGCACATTGTTGTCATCTTTTGATGCAGATACATTCTTTGGAGGCGGTTGTTTCGGTTTAGCCTTAGGCGCAAACCTGGCACCAGGTCTAGCTACAAAAGAAAACAATAGAATAGAGCGGTTTAGAACCAATGAACGAAAACAGTTAGATATAAAGAAAAAGGAATTAATTTGGATTAGCAGTTACCACGTGTAGTGGGAGTGGGAGCAATATCATCGAAAAGATTTTCCATGGATGAATTAATTAGGTTTTACTAGTCCTTTATATGCAACAACGAAGGTGTTATGATTGAGAATTAACCGATGCGACTCAGTTGGCTTTGGCGGGGGCGATTATCACGGTGGAATTGCAACCATGCGGATGCTACCGGAAATTTTGGAGAATGGAATGGATGGACGAGTTTCTCACTCTTTCGGGCGGGTGAAACTCCTGCTGCGTTTCCCGGTCACTCGACTTCCAACTCCTGCAGCGGTTGCATTAGTTATTTATTTCATCCAGTTGCTGAGTTTTTCTTTATTTTAGGGTTTTTTTTATTTATTTTAAATTCTTAATTGTTCGTAGCAAAGTATATGATAAAAATATAAAAATTGCTGAGTTTTAATCCGTAGTATATTTTAAAGAGCTTAAATGATAGTGCATTCTATGTAATCTAATATGAGAATAATATTTACACAATCAATTAATAAAAAATAAATAATTTCGTATATTATTAAAAGTTTTTTAAAATAAAAATAAAGTTTAATTAAATATATATTTGTTATTGATTGAAAATGTAAAATTATTTTATATTATCAGCGTATTACTTTTTTTTCTTATTTAATATTATATATAATTAATCAAAATTTATATATTTATTGGTTGACAATAATGCATAATTCCTTTTTCTCTAGTTTACTAATAGAGGATATGTTGAATAAGTTTCATTGGTTATTATAGCTTTATTCCTTATTATTATCTGAGGTTTGTTTTGAAACTGTAAGGCTTATATAAAGTCATTGTATTTCATTTTGTAATAATAAGAAGTTATCACACTTACTACTTCTTCATTTGATATCAGAGCTCTATCATAGCGCCTCATATAGTGTGTAAACAAGAGTGTTTGAGAGGAAAAACGCTAGAGTGATTGAAAGACGTGAAATTGTTGAATCGAGCAATTTCAACGCACCAAGTGTGCCTAAGTTTGATGGAGACTATGATCATTGGAGTTTGATCATGGAGAATTTACTTTGACCCAAGGAGTACTTGAGTGTTATTGAATCTGAAATAAATGAATCAAATGAGAATGAAGAGATAATTGTAGCACAACAAAAGGCATTAGATGAAGAAAAACTCAAAGATCTGAAAGTAAAGAATTATTTATTTCAGGACATTGACAAATCCATCTTAAAAACTATTATCCATAAAGAAACAGCTAGACAACTGTGGGAATCCATGAAAGCCAAGTACAAAGGAAGCACTAGAGTAAAACGTGCGCAACTGCAAAGGCTTCGACGGACATTCGAAACCTTAGAGATGAAGACAGGTGAATTGGTGAATGATTATTTTAGAAGAGTGATGGAAATAGCAAATGACATGAGTAATTGCGGAGAGAGTATGAACGATGTGAAAATATTAGAGAAGATACTTAGATCTTTGACAGAAAACTTTAACTTTGTGGTGTGCTCAATTAAAGAGTCTAAGGACATTGATCTCTTAACTGTGGATGAGGTTCAAAGTTCACTACTTATTCATGAACAAAAGGTAAGAGAGAAACAGAGTGAAGAACAAGTTATGCAGGTTGAGTATGGCACGTGTTATGGACGTGGGAGAGGAAGAAGCAATTTTCAAATAGGAGGTAGCAGTTATGTTAGGGGACGGGGGAGAGCAAAACCATTTGCAAACAGGATTTCTATTATATGTTATCAATGTCAAAAACAAGGACACTACCAATATGAATGTCCAAGTTTAGAAAAAGAAGTAAACTATGCTGAGTTTGACGAGGAAGAGGAGTTACTCTTAATGGCTCATGCCGAAGTTCAAGATATTAAAGACAAAGAGGTATGGTTTCTTGATTCTAGTTTCTCAAATCACATGATAGGAAATAAAAAGTGGTTTATAGAACTAGATGAAAATTTTAGTTGTACTGTTAGATTGGGAAACAATTCAAGAATGTCTGATGGGAAAAGGAAATGTCAGGTTTGAAGTGGATGGAATCATTCTAACTGTGAGTGATGTTTACTTTGTACCTGGCTTAACCAACAATTTTTTAAGTATAAGACAACTTCAAGAAAGACGTCTGGTAATAATTATAAAAGAAAGTGCATGCAAAATTTATCATCCTCAAAGAGGAAAAATTATAGACAGCAACATGACTCTGAATCAGATGTTTGTAATTCATGCTACATTAAAACCGCTTCCACGAAAATGCTTAAAGGTTGAGGAGGAGAACTTGGAGAATCTATGGAATAGAAGGTACGGGCATATAAATGATAATTTTATTGTTTCTATGCAGAAGAAACAAATGGTAAAGGGCCCACCAAAGTTCAAGGAATCTGTAGAGGTTTGTGAAGTGTGTAATATTGGCAAGCAACACCGAGACAAAATACCAAAGAAAAGTAATTGGAGAGCATCTGAAAAACTTGAATTGGTGCATGTAAATCTCCATGGTCAAATCACTCCAATATATCATAGTGGTAAGAGATATTTGCTTGTGTTTGTAGATGACTACTCTTGCAAACTTGGATTTATTTTCTTGTGGAAAAAGGTAAAACATTTGAGACACTCAAATGCTTCAAGAATTTGGTTGAGAAAGAAGCTCAGAAACATATATGTTGTTTACAAACAGGCATGGGAGGAGAGTTCACCTCAAACAAGTTCAATCAGGTCTGCCTAGAGAATGGAATTAAACGACTATTAACAATCGCTTTCACACCACAGCAAAATGGGGTAGCCGAACGAAGAAATCGAATAATTATGAATATGGTGCGTTGCTTACTTATGGAGAAAGAGATGCTAAAGACCTTATGGGAAGAAGCTGCAAAGTTGACAAATCATGTGATTAACAGAAGCCTTACCAAAGCAATAAAGGAAATGGTATCGGAAGAAAGATAGAGTGGACTGAAACCTAGAGTTGTCTATTTTAGGGTGTTCGGATCCATTGCACATGTGCATATATCTGAGCAGAAGAGAACTAAACTTGACGATAAAAGTCATAAATGTATCCTAATTGGTGTGAGTGACGAATCAAAGGCTTACCGATTGTATGGTCCAATATTAAAGAAAATAACAGTAAGCAAGGATGTCATATTTGAAGAAGGAGAAAGATGGAATTGGAACCTAAATTTAGAAGAAGGAAAAGAAATTACTCTTGATTGGGGTAAAGATAGTAGTGACATGGAGGATTCTGATGAAGAATCAGAAATAGAAACATAGATGAGTAATGCCAAAAACCAGGTGTGATCGGTGGATCTGGAACTGACTGTTTAACGCTGGTTCGCGAAATGTCGCGGTAAGCAAGAGTCGCCACCGTCTTTTATTTTCTCCAAATGGAAAGGACAAAAACACAGAAAAATTCCTTATAGAGATTGCTCTCGATTCGGGAGGTAAATTATAGAAAGGGAAGGTGTTAGCACCCTTTCTATCCATGGTTATCCATGGGCTCTTAGATACTTGCTCATTTGTGTTTTCAAAGTGTTCGCTTTTCAAAATGTGCGTGGGTTTGAAAAAAGTTTCGTTTAAAGATTTCTGAATAACTCTTGTATCAGTCCTCAAGAGTGTTTGAAAAATTGTTTGAAAGCTTTTTGAAAGTGTCTGTGTGAAAAGAGTTTTGATTTGTTTTGAAGAGAGCAAGTATCTATGAGTCATCTACCTACCCTAAGGAATTAAGCTGTGTAAATGTCCTTAAGGTAGTGTCATCCCACCATTGAGAGATAGGTAGCACCACCGTTGGAGGTGTTCGGGTCAATTCGAGTTTAGGGACAGTGTGGTCACCAGAGCAACAGTAGGACACCTTAGAAGCTACCCTTATGCCATTGATCCTTTTTATTCCGAGGCAACCGTTTCGAGGAAACTATTCCGAGGCAACCGTTTCAAGGCAACTTGTTTTGAGGCAACTAGATCAATGGACATAAGGCCTCTCATCAAACTTCGGCCAAGTATCTCTTCCACAGAGCAACTCCCCGGCCGTTCGTCAAGGATTTATTTTCCTAAGATGAAATTACACTCATAAACATTTCACATTTTCATACATCTTGCTTACATACATGGTGAAACGCATACAACATCTCACGTTGAACATCATGACATCATGATATCATGCATATCATACATCATGACATTGCATACAACTTACGTTTTTTGCCTTTTCAGGAAAAAGACAATCCCAAAAACAATTACCGTCAACTGTCGCAATTCCAGATCCGATACCTGTATCTAGCCAGGGCACATCTGAGGGTGATCAGTTTCCAGACTCGATTCCTGTATCTAGCCAGGGCACGTCTGAAGAGTTCGAAGATTCGATTCCTGTATCCAGCCAGGGCACATCTATCAACTACAACATGTCCAGATTCGACTCCTGTATCCAGCCAGGGCATATCTGTTGACCACGTTTCCAGACTCGATTCCTGTATCTAGCCAGGGCACGTCTGAAGAGTTCGAAGATTCGATTCCTGTATCCAGCCAGGGCACATCTATCAACTACAACATGTCCAGATTCGACTCCTGTATCCAGCCAGGGCATATCTGTTGACCACGTTTCCAGACTCGATTCCTGTATCTAGCCAGGGCACGTCTGAAGAGTTCGAAGATTCGATTCCTGTATCCAGCCAGGGCACATCTATCAACTACAACATGTCCAGATTCGACTCCTGTATCCAGCCAGGGCATATCTGTTGACCACGTTTCCAGACTCGATTCCTGTATCTAGCCAGGGCACGTCTGAAGAGTTCGAAGATTCGATTCTTGTATCCAGCCAGGGCACATCTATTAACGACTATTTCCCGATTCGACTCCTGTATCCAGCCAGGGCATATCTGTGAACAACCAATTGTAGACTCAATACCTGTACCCAGCCAGGGCGTATCTACATAAAAAGACTAAGGATCAAACACCTGTAACAAGCCAGAAAAAAAAAATCCGTCTTTCTCAAATACACAAGTTCTCGCTAAGGAATCTCTTAGACGATCGACACTTCCAAATGGCATCTATAAGCCCATTCCCGACAAGGTTCTGTCACGTCTCCGGATGACATCTATA